TAATTAGCTTTGGACCAAAGAGGACCAAAGTGTGAGTGAAAGTTGAAAGGATCGATTTTTGAGTAACAAGTCGGATTTTGGCTCGATTAAGGAAAAAGAGCAAAAATTGAACTCTAAAGCCTTCAAATTGCTCACACAAGGAAGAATGAGAGTCATTGAAGCTTGAGAAATGCTCGATCAATCAACAAGAGGGATGGAAAATGAGGGGAGAGTGTGCCTTTTATAGGCTACCTTGGCTCCAGGTCGGTACCGAAGAGCCTTGCGTCGGTACCGATTAGCGTGGTACCGAGCCAGCTGATTGGTACTAACGTTGAGGCCATTGGTGCTGATGCCAGGCCGGTTGGTACCTAGGGACAAAAGTGATGACTTTTCCCTTTTGCTTATTTTCTATGCTACTTCCCTTCTGGAGGTTAGTTTGAGACTCAAATGACATTGGATTAAGCTGATTCTCAAGCCATTGGAACAGTGATGAATTCCCTAAGTCCTTGTGCTAAAATTAAGTCAACAGCTGCACCCTCCAGAAGATCGAAGCTAATCTTGGTTCGAGATTATGGACCTTGATTTTAGGTCATCTACTTGGAATTTCGGTCAGGGAATTGTGCCTCCATGTGTGTTGATGTCAGGAATATCCTGTTAAAATTTTATCTAATTATGAGAAAGTTTTTCTCGGACCAGTCTGATTCAGATGACTTTCTAGGTCTTTTCCGCAAAAGTTCATCACCAACAAGGATAAAGCTTTATTTAGAAATCTGTCAAGGTCGTAGAAGTTCAAACTGTGCTAAATTCGGAGTTCGGATGAGCCTAAAACGTCAGTTTCTTTAGGCGATGGCAACTCTGAATTTCATACTGCGGGACTGAGCCTTCCATGTCTCATCGACTATCTGGAGTAAGGTATTTATCTGATTGGCCCTTCAACCTTTTAGATTCTTATATTTTAGTCCTTAATTGCATATATGATAAAACTTAGTCCGATTTGAATGTTGTTTGTTGCATATGACCTATAGGAGGATAAGCTATCAGTATTGATGCTTTAAGTCATTTGTTTAGAAATTGCAGTTAGGTCCTTAAAATTTTAAAAAATTCCATTATTACCTTGAAATCCATTCTAATTAGATTTCAGGTCTGGTTTTGGCTCTACTTGAAGTTGTGACCTCCTTAAACCTTGTAGGGAATCCCGCTAGGAGTCTGATTGTCCGAAAATTACCATTTTACCCCTAATTGGCAAGAAAACTAGTCTTTCACCCTGATGGCCTATTTTTAGCTTTGATTGAAATTGTAACCTCCTTAGACTCTGTAGCCAATCCCAGTTGGATTTTGATTATTTAAAAATTACCATTTTACCCCTAATTGGCAGGAAAATTAGTCTTTTGCCATGATGGCCTATTTTCAGCTCTGATTGAAGCTGTAACCTCCTCAGACCCTATAGGCAGTCCCAATAGGAGTTTGATTATCTAAAAATTATTGTTTTACCCCCTAATTGGTGGGAAAACTAGCCTTTTGCCCTAATGGCCTATTTTCAACTTTGATTAAAGCTGTGTGATACTGAAATGGAGAGTCTGTAATTGATATGAATACTCTGTAGCTAGTCTAAAAATCCTATTTTTAGTCTAAATATTTTGTAGTTAGCCTGAAAACCTTATTTTCGGTCCGGTTCTTGTCTAAAAACCCCATTTTTAGTCTAAATACTCTGTAGTTGGTCTAAAAACCTGTTTCTATGCTGGTTCTGGTATGAAAACCCTTTTTTTAGTTTGAATACTCTGTAATTGGCCTGAAAACCTTACTTTTGGTTGGGTTTTGGTCTGAAAATACTATTTTTAGCATGAATACTCTATAGTCGATATATATTTTTTGTTTTGTCCTGACTTTGACCTATGTAGCCTGCTTGCTTGATTTTCTGCAAGAATTGTTAGCTTTTCTGTATGGAATACTTTGGCACTTATTGACCATGATTTCAGCACCTGGCTCTATGAAATTTTGTTACGGTTCCAATGGCATGAGAATCAGCTAGATCAGACATCGTTTGTGCCACGAACGGACCTTTGGAAGCCCAAAAACCTTAAAATCAAAGGCCAAGGGCAGGGCAGTAATTTGCCCTGATCAGCACTGATCAACTCCTGGCCCGTGCTGATGAGCCCTAGATTGGTGCCGATCTGGTGCCAACTGATCGCCTTGATCGGAACCAAAATGGAGCTTAGTGGTACCTATTTTGGGGACATCGGTACCGCCGTGTCCTTTGCCCAATAGCTCTTTGGCCTATAAATATGGCCCTTCCCCCCTCATTTTAGGCACCTCTTGTTACTTGATCAAGTGCTTCTCAAGCATCAACGACTCTCACTCTCCTTAGAATGATTCTAAGGCATTATAGTCTGACCTTGCTCTTCTTCCTTAGTTGAGTTTAAGGTCCAACTTAATACTCAAAATTCGATCCTGTCAACTTTCACACACACTTTGGTCTTCCTTAGACTAAAGCTATTAGCTACTTAATTTATTATTTATTAATTTAAGAATTAATTAATAGTCCATTAATTAGCAATATTATAAGACTATAATTCGAGTCCTCGTGCTCTACCTTAGCTTGATTTGGAGGAAGACTTGACCTATTTGGTAATTTTTTAACACGAAGCTCCGATCCAGCCGCATCACAAACACAAGGGTATAACAACATTAAACTCAAAACTTTGTCAATTAAAGCCTGGTTCGTCTAGTACCTTATCAAATTTCATGCCTAGTTCGTCCAACACTTTGCATGCTTTAAGCCCGGTCTGTCTAGCACATTAAGCCCAGTTCGTCAGGCAAAACAAATAAATCAGTTTTCAACTAACGCCCGGTCCTCCCGGCACACCGTTAAGCCCACTCCCTGAGTGGCACCTTCAAAACCCTACCATCCTAAATGATGGTAGAACTTCGTCCGCCCTGATCCTCATACAAACGAGGTACGATCGTCCGCCCTGATCCTCATACAAACGAGGTACGAAGGCATGCCTATAGATTTTAGCCTAAGTAGCGGGCCTCGACCAAATTGACCGGTCAGGATTTAGGAGAATGTGTTGCATGACCTAGAATCCTTGATAAACAAGGCTAGAGTTGGGCTCCCCTCCAAATTACACACCATTCAATAATTGTGCTCTTAATGTTTGTCTATAACTGCCATGCATTATTAGTATGCTCATGCATCGATAAACTGACATTCATGCTAAATAATATTTTGATTTCTCAATTATGACCCAAACCATTGATTCATTTCGAAAGAAGCCAAAAACCTAGTCCCCTAATGCGTCCCACATCGCCCGCGGAGTACATCGTAGGCTAGTGTATAAGGCTGGGTTCAGTCCTTCCTCTATGAGCTAGCTTCTGGGGGGCAAGTTAGGGGTCAAGTCTCTTGCAAGAGTACTTGCAAAAGTCCCTTATCATCCCTTAACCCAATGATTCGAGGCTAGTGCATTTTATCCAAAGGCTAACTGAAAATAGAGTCCATTAGGGTTTTATCCTTAGTTCTTTCCCTGAAAACAAAAACAAATTAAGGTGGTGACTCTAACATGCCACACATAGTCAAAGCGCTCTAAAGAGCCAACCCGACATCACTTAAGCGACATCACTTAAGCGCTAAACCGAGCCATGACTTGTTAATTTTGACCAATAACAAAAAAGAAACCATAAGGAGTTCCTCCCAGTTTTTGTGACGAACCAACCAATGGGCCTGACCAGATCAAAGGACTCCATCATTTGGACATCCTTTCCCTCGGTGCTTGGTTGGGGCCGCACAGCTGGCCACTACACTGGGAACTTTAACATTTTTCAAACTAAAGAAGATGACTACCGAGTAGGCTTCGAAACTTTGGTTTGGGTTTTAATTGAGAAATAGCATTTTGTATACATTCAGATACATCATTTGGGATCCTTTGTTGTCATTAGAACTAAGCAAATCGAGTTGCTATTATCACTGAAGGGTAATCTTCCTTAGAGCTTCCTCGGGTCGAGAAAGCTGCTCAACCATCCTGCGTACCTCTGTTCCCTATGGTAGGATAAAGGGTTTAGTTCACCAATGTTCCATTTGATGCAACATGGCCAAATGACGAGGTATATTCCAACTCTACTAGATAGGACCTTTAAACCAAACCACCAAAAGCATGTAATAGCCTTAGAACTGGTCCCTAGGATTCTATGCACCCAAAAATCATGAAATCGTTTTTTGGCATGACATCCACGCATTTAAGCATTTCATACCATAGAGCAAGAAGTAAACCTAAACACCAACCAATGGTCAAAATCTAAACACCAATCAGTGATCAAAACCTAAACACCAACCAATTGTTAGCACAAACGCAAATCCCTACTTGAGGAGATATACCTTACTCATGAGCCTCAAACACTAACCTGAACACCTAAATA